CGATACAACTTTCGTGGGATGAGAATTCGATATACAATCTAGCGCGAAACAGCTTCCGTGTTGAAAACACGCGTGAGGTAAAAATGCGATTATAAACTAACAAGATATAATAACTACGAACGCGATACATTACTATGTATGATTATATGAATGATAAGTTATAACACACGTTGTAACACAACATGCGGAAAATGAGACGATCATCCTGTCGATTGCGGCGTGTTTCCCTTTTTTTTCTGTTCCTTCTTCACGTTCGTTCGTCTCAATTTCCTCGTAGATAATAGTCAAATCCTTAGATAACTGAGTTATCTGATCGCTGAATCAATCAATTTGATATCATGAAATATTATCCTCTAATAGTAGGTTATTTTTTATACTTTCACACTTTACCTTTTTACGTAAAAAATAGGAGGAAACGAGGAAACTTCATTGGTGATTATCTTCATTGAATTGACGGATTCATTTATGATTAGGCAGTGCCACGAATGAGGGAAATCCCCCGGGATCAAATGGCATATTTTTCAGAATTTCGAAATCACAACTTCTCAAACAACTAATTGTTGTAATTGACAAATATGATAGAGATGAACTTCGTCTGTGTTTATATGTCCGCAATGATAACTGTAAAATCATATATTTTCTTCTGTAATACGAACATGCTACAACGCGAACGTCTTACCCTAGTTCAAGTTGGCGGTCAAGTTGGCTAGCAACTCGGGGTAAGAAAGCCATATAAAATATGTATGTATCTGATTAGTAGTTCCGGGGTCTCCGCGAGAGGTCTCCACAGTCCTGTCGACTCTTAAATAATGGCCAGCTCTATTTCGTCCATCTACATGCTCGATTTCAATTATTTTATGAGTGAAAATTGGTTTTATTGTTCAAAACAATGTATTATACACTTGTAAAAAATTTCATTTTGACTAATAACAGATCACTAATCATCCAGGTTATAGAAATCAAATAATACTAAATTAATACTAAATTTCGAGACGCTCGAAAATGTACTTGGCTGTTTCTAAATCAGTTCTTGCTATTTTATCGGAGTAATTATTTTCTTTCCTTATAACATTATAACATTATTGCGTAGACTAGAAAATTACCCATCGGTAGTTTTACTGAACTCAATCATGAAGATTAGTTCTTCCTTTTTACATTTTCCCTGATCCGTCTTCTGACATTCCTTGTATCTAGAAGTCGCTTTACTTCAATATTCTTATATTTTTTAAGACTATTTAAGGAAAAATGTCTCATTTCACTTGCAAAAAATCTCATTTTGACTAATAACAGATCACTTTAGTCATCCAGGTTACAAAAATCAAATAATATTATTAATACTAAATTTCGAGACGCTCGAAAATGTACTTGGCTGTTTCTAAATCAGTTCTTGCTAATTTAACGGAGTGATTATCTAGTGCTTCCATCGGTAGTTTTACTGAACTCAATTATGAAGTTTAGTTCTTCCTCTTTAGATTTTTCCTGATCCGTCTTCTGACATTCCTTGTATTTAGAAGTCGCTTTACTTCAATGTTCTTATATTTTTTAAGACTATTTAAGGAAAAGTGCTTCATTTCAGTTCAGCATGCTCTAAAAAAAACATTCTGCGATTTTGTTTTCACTGTTTCTCTCACGATAAATACATAAACAAAATACATAGCCGACATACTCCCACTAGATCTCGTCTGCTCTACGATATATCAAGTTCATGAATAATAGATAGAGTAAAATATCAAATTATTAATCCTTTTTATAATTATTAATATTCTAGAATAACCTAATTTCTTTCGTAACCAGAGGCGGCTGTTTACAGTTTTAATTATGAAATTATACACCAGGAGAACCAAGAAACAGGCAAAATGTAAGCAAAAAGTTTAGTTGCAAAGCTAGTCGCAAAAAACTAGGTTTTTTCCCTATTTTCCTGCTACTCTATTTTCAACATTCGTGTTTTATTTTCGACAGTGATTTTGCGTAAATAATCCGAAGAAAGTACCAGCATGCTCGAAACATTAAATGACAAACGAATTTACATTATGTTCCGTATACTTTTCATGAAAACACATTAATGGTGAGTGTATTTTCAAATCTTCTCATGACAGTACACACACGCGTGCTACATTTACGATTCGATCTCTCTCGCTGACCCCTTTCTCGCATTTCATCGATCCTACATCCGAGAATCTTATGTCGTGCTCATTATTTAGCCATTTACATTGACTTCCATCGATTACCATAAAGACCTGTTTTCTCATTCCGATTATCGCAAGCGACCTATTGTGGTGGCCGGTCTATGTCGCGAATCTAATTGTCGATACGTGTTGATGCACACGGTATTGAATGTGTAGAGAATACACGCTAAATTTAGCATTTATCATGTTAAAGTTTACTAATATTTTCTAATCGTTTTCCTCGTATCCGGTATGTATATACATCATCATTGATGATTATTCGACTAATTTGTGATTTTCACAAGTGGATGAGGAAGTAACGACTTACTTGTATAACGCTGTTACTGTTAAATGTTATTTTTTCAGCCTTGTAATCCTTTTAGCTTAGAAACGGTGTTATTTTTACAGTAAAAGCCGACCGTGAATATTAGTGCGAATAATTCAAACAATAGAAGGATAATAGATAATATTTTTCTCAATATTTATAGAAAATCAAAAAATGTATGCATAAAAACTCCGTAAAAAGCACACAAAAGACTTATCTTCTTATCAAAAATAATTATTTTCATAAGATTATCTACGTCCGTCAACAAATTTGATTTTAAGTATGAGACTTTTTCACATATTACACACGTTATACGACTTACCACATTATCCACAGGACAATCATCTATAATTATGTGATTTACAAGATTAATTGTCTTGATTGTCAAGTATCTTTGTGAAAAAAGGCAATTTTATACACATATATTTAAAAAAAACATAAAAATCATATTTCACATAATATCTCACTCAACTTTCTATCATTGCTGATTACATTTGCAACACAATCATAAATTTGGTTAGGAAAAGTTAAAAATTTAATGAGCAGTATTTCTATAAACAATTATATATATATATATATATATATATATATATATATATATATA